CGTCACGGTTCTTAATCTTGAACCAAAGAGTCCAAATCCGGCAAATCGTTTTGAGAAACAGATTTTTTGAAAAGAAATGCCAAACATGGACTGCTTCACCAGATACAGAGTCGCCACCTAAATATTTTTTTATGGGGGAATTTAGGAAACCCTGACTCGGTGCCGAAGGCCACATGTCCGTCATCACCAAAGTTGTCTTGGCTCGGGAGCTTGGGTACGATCGGGGAAGGTCAGCTATGAGCACCCCTTTTCGCCCGGTCCGAAGACCGGCCTCTACTAACCATGATATCCGATTTTGAAAACGTCATGTGTTCTTATTCTGGTTATTAGCCTAGAATTAATATGTTATGCGCATAGCAAACAAGTATAGACTAGATTGCCTAATTTGGGAATAAGCACTGCATATCCGTTCGTTTTGGAAAAATATTTTGGAATTTGCTACTCGCAAGTAGGCTAAGACACGGATTTCAATGAGCCATTCCAACTCAGACAATCTAACCTTCACCCACAGGCATCCAAACAGTTTATCACATAAGCATCTAGCCACATGGTAATCATACTATCATGGCAACACTCACACACATGCGGTATGCTAAAGCATAAATGCTTATCTAGTACTCCAAGCCAAAACAGAAACCAGTTAGTAATCACATGCATGATCCTAGTTCATGTTAAGATGGCTAATGCAACACATGCAAAATGCAACTAAGATAGGCTCGGCTAATCTACAATGGCATGTGAAATGCTACAACTAATATGTATTCAATTTGGAATTGGAATACAAATGTAGTTAGAATGATGCGCCGAGCCCGGTGCATGCAAGACAAATGTATGAATGCACGCATGCATAGCATAAGGTATGCTAATTTAAACATGCCCTAGTCTACCATCATAAGCGGGTAAATAAAAGGGAAGAAAGACGTGGGGTTGGAAGACATGCACACACTCACGCACGCTTATTACACAATTGCCCTCACTCGGAGGGTCCAAATAAATATTACAGTCCGAATAATAAACACATTAATTATTACAGAATTTCTAGTTAATTAATAGAATGAATGTAAAAAAAGAAAGGCGGCCACAGCCCCTGCCTCGGGATGCGCGAATGATGCATGCTCGAACCCGCCTCGCCCGGAAAGTCCGTACCATACCACTGTCGCCCCTGTTTTCACTGCCTTGCTTCTCTGAAAAATTCTAAAGTTCTGGGACAGGTTCCTTGCACACTGTAGAATACCATCGGCTGAAGGAAATGCCCACCGGCCATATGTAATTTCTATCGGTTGCTGATGGAGTTATTGGCCGTTCACCAATGGCCGGTCAGCATTGGACACTGCCGGTCGGCAGAAACTTCCTGCAGAAAACAGTTTTGACAGCAACAGCGGACAGACAGTATATGGCATGGGATTTCAGGCACATGTGAGCATAGTCATGTTTCCCATCATGCTTTGAACTCAGGGAAGCATGACCCTCAATCCTCGAGTCATCAATTGTGCATGATAGCCTAAGTGATCAAGCTTGCCATTTGATGTAAAAATGCATGCAACACACAAATGAGAACCAAGACCCTATCATGTCTAAGTCAAGGGCCCCGGTGACCGAGAGTTCAATGGCGTCATTACATCACTTGTAGTATGAACGCTCCTTAGCCCTCACACTTGGTTTAACACCCCAAACCAAGTAATGCAATGCATGTTATGCAAACATGGCTCAAAATGCAACATGATACTAATTATGCAAGGCATGCCAAATGCCATGCAACTACCATGGCACGTATGCAATGCTAGACATTCAAGATGCAAATGCAATGCAAACATGGACGATTTAAGCAATAGGATCATCGTGTTACAACACCTAATGAAGCAATCATGCAACGAACATGAGACAAGCATGCAATGGTGGCCTTAAACCACCAAGGGGGCAGACCTCAATCCACCTCAAAACAGCGGCCAAAAGTGCGTAAAATGGTAGACAAACACTCATGCCTACACGCAAGCCAATGGACCTAAGACTAAGGCACAAAAAGGGGGGCACTTTACTTCCACTAACATGACCATTCATGGCATGAATTAGACAAGCAAAAACAGAATCCTATCATGCAAAAATGGACTCCAAACCCACCGATATGGCAGCTTAAATGGCTCCAATGAGATGCATTCACCAAAACTCATTTCTAGGCATAAAAGGGCACATCTTTAAAGCATGAAAGAGGTCACATATGCAGGCATACAAACATGATTTATGGACTGAAATACGACCCTAAATGATGCCAAATCATGAGTATGGTCTAAGCTACACATGTTAGAGGCCAATATACTCAAGGCTTACAAGCCAAAACACAAAGAGATGACACCAAACATGGCAAGCATGACTGAAACAGATGGCCAACAGGCCTTAAACATGGTAAAGTAATGCCAATACCTTCATGAAATTAGGCTAACACATGCAAGAATCATGACCTAAACACAAGATGCATTTCTAGGCCAAATAGAGGAATGTAAAGCAAGTATGTTAAGCATGCAAAAGGGTACAAATCCGACCAAAAACAGAGGTTACATGTGACCTAAAAACACCCAAAAACCTCTGAAAAAGGGCCAAAATTAATCAAGCATGCATGTTACCCTTTAAGCCAAAAGGCAAGGAAATAAGACAATGAAGGGAGAGGGTGTCCCTCCCCTATACAAGACTTCAAACCACCTTTCTCACCACTGAAAATCCACTGGTTTTAGTGGTGAGAAGGCTAAGACACTCAAGTAAACAAGACCTTACAAATGAAGCACCAAAAGGGGCCAAATAAGGCCTAAGAGGGTGAGTTTGAACTCAAACCACAAAACACCCTTAATGAAAGTTCTTAAGCATGAAAATATAAGCCTTTTTTATGTTATGCACAAAAACTAAATCAGCAAGCAAGATAGGTAAAAGACTAGTGCAAGTTTGGGGAAACTAAAGCAAAGTGCTCACCCTTGAAGCACACCTCAAGAACAGCCAATGCAGCCCTCTTCTTTTGATCAAAAAAAGTCCAAAAACTCAAGAACCAACCCTCAAAGCCCCTCAATATCGGAGCAAGGTGTAATAGTGTGTGTATTAGTGCAAAAGTAAGGTAAAAGTACACTTTTAGGCCATGAAACACACACAAGGGAGGAGAGAGAGGGTGTATCTATATGTATAAGCTCTGGTTTTTGCCTTCAAATTTTCTAACCTAGAATAAGGAGAAGACCTCTCCTCTTATAGAAGTCCCTCTTGCCAAGCTTACATAACAAGCTTGCTTAGAGGGAAATCCCTCCATACACGTGTATGGAGGGAAGCAGAGTTGGTGCCAGCTATCACAGCTGGCAAAGTAGATGAACAGTAGTTGGCTACTCAAAATTGCCATTTTGACAAAAAGGAGTGCCGACCGGCAACAAATAGTGCCGACCGGCAATATATATTGCCGACGGAAACAAAATACCAGCCGGTGGCCTTTGGCCATGGCCGGTGATGTGTGGGGATGCCTCACAAGGCATTTCTTGCCCCTCCAAGGCAAAACACAAGTGTTTGGTGTGAAACCAGACACTAAACAGCCGAGTTCGGAGATCCTGAGGCAAGGCGCGTAGCCGAGACCTCCGGGAACTCCAAACGAACACAAACATGGATGATCATCGGGTGTTTAGATGGTGACGTCCAAGGCTTGAGGAAGGTCGAAAATGGGGTGCCTACACCAGTTTGAACCTATCTATTTGAAAGGAAACCGGTCGACCGGTTGGTCAACCGGCCGGACAACCGGCTGGTTGGCCGGTTGGCCCACCCCAATGGTAACTCACAGTGAAATAATGAAATCTGGAGTTTGTTCTCACTTTGATGAATTTTTTGTTCCATTCACATTTTGATACTAATTTGGTGAAACCATTGGAGCTGCAAAAAGTAACTTTTTCACCAAATTTCAAATCTGATGCAAAGTTTGATGAACCGTTGGAGATGGTCTTAGGACAACTATTATATATTCCTAACTCAGCACATAGGATATACTCAAGCTATCAAACATGGCACTCGTTTGTTAAAGTTGGGTTGGGGTTAAAATAGTCATAAAAATATAAAATAATTTTTTTAATTTTAGGATAAAAAATATCACATTTAAATCATAATCATTTTATTTTAATTTTTTTTAAAAAAGTCAAAAAATTCATTCCAAACGAAACTTTTTAATCCCAAACTAAAAAAATCAAAAAGCTAAAAAACCAATTCAGATCCCAAACAAAGCCATATTTGTGGACAACATTAATGTCAATACACTACTTAAATGTCTACTCAATAATTAAGAGAAGAAATTGGATTTTCTGTGATCATTTCCTCAACTTGATTGTGTTGTTGTGTCTGGGTAGATCTATTATTTATTTATTTATCTTGATGATTCAAATCGTTTATGTAAGATCTCTTGAGTAAATTATATAAATAGTTAAATTGATCGGATAACCGTAGACAAATGATTAGATTACATTTTTTTAGATTATATTTTTTTCTTCTTCAAAATAGTAAATTTGTTATCAAAATCATACTTGTCATTTATTTATTTTTTGATAACAAATGTAATATAATTATGTGGTTATTGTTTTCTAATCAATATATTTTTTTTGTATCGTTAGAATAGTAGAGAGAGGAAAATATTATGTATTGTATATATTCAATCTATCAATTACAATAGGAGAAGCCTGTATATATGGGCCAAGAAATCTAGGTGTATAGGAAACCTAGTTGTATAAGAATACAAGAGTCCTAAGTATAATAGGAATAGATAACAACTAACACCCCCCTCAAGCTCAAGGTGGTAAGGCAGATAGTAACTTAAGCTTGGCGAGAAGATTAGAGAAGCGTCCTGGAAGATGAGCTTTGGTGAAGAGATCGGCGGTCTGCTCAGCAGAGGTAACAAAGAGAAGACAAACAGTGCCTCGAGTAACATGCTAGCGTATGAAGTGGCAATCTATCTCAATATGCTTGGTGCGATCATGGAAAACATCATTATGTGCAATCTAAATAGTACTCTGGTTGTCACAATAAAGATTGGTGGTAGAAGAATGAGAAACTCCCAAATCAGAAAGAAGCCAACGGAGCCACACAAGCTCCTGAGTAGTGTCAGCAAGAGCACGATACTTAGCCTCAGTACTAGAACAAGCAACAAGAGTTTGCTTCTTGCTACGCCAGGCAATAAGAGAGGTGCCCAAGAAGAAGCAGAACCCAGCAGTGGAACGACGGTTAGTAGGATCCCCCGCCCAATCTGCATTAGAAAAGACATGAAACTATAGAGAAGACTGTGCGGAGTAGTGAAGACCATAAAACAAAGTGCTTTTGAGATAGCGCAAAATGCGAATCAGAGCATCATAGTGTGGAGAACGGGGGCAGCCTTGAATTGACTGGCAATGTGGACAACATAAGCAAGACTGCCTACTAGCTGACGATATTTGGTGGCATCAGACAATAAGGAACCTTCAAGAGGTGTAAGACAAGTCTGAGGATCAACAAGAGTAGTGGCAGTCTTGCAATCGTTAAGTCTAGCACGAGCCAAGAGATCAGAAGTATACTTGGCCTGGGTAAGAAAGTAACTAGATGAATCTTGAGAAATTTCCAAGCCAAGGAAGTAGCTAAGCAAACCCAAATCTTTCATCTCAAACTGGCGACAGAGAAACTGTTGGAGACTAGAACTACCCGCGGGTCATCTCCAGTGATAATCATATCATCCACATAGAGGAGAAGGAGAATAGTACCACACTTCGTCTTATGTATAAACAAGGTAGAATCATGGGCACTGGAAGAAAAGCTAAAGTCACAAATGGTAGAGCTGAACTTGGCAAACCAGGCACGCAGAGATTGTTTCAAACCAGACAAAGCACAACGAAGTTTGCAGACTTTGTTTGATGGAACAGAAGAACCAGGAGGAGGTTGCATATAAACTTCCTTAGTGAGATCACCATTGAGGAATGTATTTTCGACATCCATCTGATAAAGACTCCAATGGTGAACAGCAATCACTGCAAGTAAGTTGCGAATGGAAGTAAGACGAGCAACATGAGCAAATGTTTCTTCACAGTCAATGCCATACTCTTGAGTAAACCCTCGGGCTACAAGGCGAGCTTTGTAACGTTCAATGGAACTGTCGGAATGAGTTTTGAGCTTGTAAACCCATTTGCAACTATCAGTACTCTTGCCAGGAGGAAGATCAACCACATCCCAGGTATGAGTTTTATCGAAAGCCTGCAGTTCATCAGTTATAGCTTGCTGCCAAAGAGGATTAGAGCAAGCTTCTTGATAGGAAGTAGGTTCATGAGAGGAAAAGGCAGTGGAACCAACAATATAATCACAGAGAAGAATAGAAGGTTGCTTTACCCGTGTGGAATGACGTTTTGGTAGAGGAGAAACCTTAACAGGAGAAGGTGTAGGGCCATCAGCAGACACAGGATCCTCAGGATAGACAATAGTGTAGGCGGTTGTGAAAGCATGGAGTCAGAATCTGTATTAAAAAGACATTAGAAAACAAGTCTCCAGAGAGATCAGTAAAGATCGGTGAGTGGGTGGACTGTGGTAAATGAAACTTGGAAAGATGGAGAACATTTTGTGTTCCCAGAAGACCACATGACAGGAAATACGAAGTCGCTTGGAGATAGGATCCCAACAATGATACCCTTTATGTTCTATACCATACCCTAGAAAACAGCAAAGACGAGAGCGAGGTTTTAGTTTAGTGTGTTCATGAGACTGAAGTAGAACAAAATAAGCAGAACCAAAAACTTTAAGAGTGGTGTAGTCAGGAGGAGAACCATACAAGTGCTTATAAGGGGAAATATTAGCTATGATAGGTATAGGTACACGATTTATGGTGTGGATGGCAGTGAGGGCACCTTTCCCCAAAAACTGTTCAGGATAAGAAGATGAGATGAGAAGAGCTCGGGTAGTGTCTAGAATATGACGGTGCTTCCTTTCGACTCGTCTATTTTGTTGGGACGTGCCTGCACAAGAGCGATGAGATAGGGTACCATTAGCCCGAAGAAAAGACAGAAATTCAGAATCCAAGTACTTCTTAGCATTATCAGAATGAAATATTTTAATAGTACGAGAAAACTAAGTGCGAACCATGGCAGAGAAATCATAAAAATCTGTTTAAGTTCAAATCGATTTTTGAGAAGAAAAAACCAAGCATAACGAGAAAAATCATCAACAAAAATCACAAAATATCTTGACCCTCCCTTGGTTGGTGTAGGGGAAGGCCCCCAAATATCTGAATGCACAAGATCAAAAGGAGCAGTAGACATAGAGGTATTGTTATTAAAAGATAAAGTAGATTGTTTAGTAATTTGACAAGATAAACAAGTGACATCTTTAAGATGGACACGACCTAACTGACCACTAGAAACTAAAGTTTTCAAACGACTAAAAGAGACATGTCCTAAGCGACAATGTCAAAGCTATAAAGAAGACAATGAAGAAGTAGATGCAGCAGAGGAAGCAATGAGAGCAGCAGTAGATGATTTGCAAGGAATGCGAAGATAGGTAAGCTCGAACAAACGTCCATGCTTACGGCCTATCCCAAGGATCTGTCTCGTCTGAGGGTCCTGCACCAAATAACCATTAGCAGAAAAGGTAACGGTTAGACCAAGTTCACATAACTGACCAACAGAGATAAGGTTCAAGTGAAGAGCAAGAATATGATAAGCATCAGAAAGAGACACAGTAGAAGTAGAAATGTGACCAATGTGACAGACAATCATATGAGAACCATCAGCAGTATGTATGATGGATGATAGAAAAGAAAACATAATGGAGTCAGAAGTCATATGATTATAGCATGCAGAATTAAAATACCAGGGAGAATTACCTGAAGTCACTGAAAGAGCAGTAGAGGGAGGAGTACCAGATTTGGTAAGCACCTGTTAGATGATGGACCAAACATCATCTATAGAGAATGAAGGAGTAGCGAAATCAATGGAGTGGTGAGGAGAAGAACCCTTAATGGCAACAGCAGCAGAGCGAGAACCTTGGCCATATTTGGACTGATACCCAGAACGAGAAGACCTTTTCTTGGAGGGGGCTCGAGGACAATGGCGTTGGAGATGACTGGGAGCAGTCTTACAGCAAGTAAAGCATTCGCGAACCTGGTACTGAACAAAAGAATGAGTAGTTGGCAGGCCACGGTTAGAACAATACTGGCATGAACTAATGGGCTGTGAAGGTGAGGAACTCTGCGAGGATGGCGTAGCAAGAACATAATCCATACGTTGAGATTTGAGAGTCCCAAATTGAGTCTCCTCTGATAATAGTTCAGTAATGGCTTGCTCTAAAGTGGGTAAGGGCAAACGATGGAGCAATGAAGCACGTACGGGCTCAAAAGTGCTATGAAGAGCCATAAGGAACTGTAATAGTCGCTAATGATTCTGATAAGTAATAAACAGCTGTGCATCCTTAGAATATACCCATGTAGGCTCAGAAAGAGCTAGCTGGTCCCAAACAGACGACATCTGGGATAAGAATTCATTGATAGACTGATCCGGTGCCTGGTACATATGATGAAGAGTCTGCAACAGTTGATATTGATGAGCATGGCTAGTGGTTTGATAACAGTCCCTCAAGAAATCCAAAATTCTTTGGTAGGGGAAGTAATTTGAGCATCATCTTGGAACCGGCCAAACTGGAGATGAATAAAGGGAACTAAGGTATCTCAGAACCAGGTGATAATTTGATAATTCTTACTTTCCTAATCGTGAAGACGGTCATCGAATGCAGAGTCAGTCTCATCCGCTTTCTGGTTGGGTTTGAGAAGAGCACCAGTAATAATGCGCCAAAGGCATTTCCCTTTGATGAAGCTAGAGAGAGTTTGGGCCCAACTAAAATAATTTGACCCATCAAGGATAACAGAAACAGAGTGGATATGCTCGGTATGATCCATAATGCTCAAACAGTGAAAAAAAAAGAAAATGGTGCTTTTAGAGGCCGATTTTTCCAAAACAGAACACACCAACGGATTTAGGAGGCTAAAAATAGGTATGATAGGGTCTGAACGGGGCCAAAAACACAACCAGAAAGGTAGTAAAGCGGCTAGTCAAAGTTGTTTGACAAAAAAAGAAGTACCAACACAAGGGCTGACGTCACAACAAGGAGGGCTGACATCAGAAACGCATGGCGCACGTTAGCAAAGGTGCGCGCAGCGCATGATAGCAAGAAACAGCTGCGGCACACAGTCAACCAAGGCTGACGTCAGCGATGACGTTAGAACATGCGGCTCACATTAGCAAGAAGCAGCAATAGCGCACAGTTAACTAGGGCTAACGTTAGCGATGACATCATAACACGCGGCTCACGTTAGCAAGTGAGGCCACGGCGCAAGATAGCTCATGATTGGAGCAGAGGCGCGTGAATGTGTGTAGAAGACAGCACAACGCATGCCTGATCTTCTGGCGGCGGGTTTGGCGGCGCGTGGAGACGATTCGGATGGCATCGGCTTCGTCTTGAAGAGACAAAGATGATTGTATAGGCCAATCATTGAAACAGGAAAGGACGAGATACGCAAAAACCAGCGTGAGAATGAATCAAATAGATAAGAGTAAGTCCTGTGCCAAATCCACAAGCTTGGTGGTGTATTTATTCAATTGATAGTAAAGAAATTCTCAAGGAGGTTCCTTGGGGAGTGGACGTAGGCCTGGCGTGCCGAACCACTATAAATCGCAGTGTTTGATTTTCTCTCTCTATCTCTTCTACTTTTATATTGATAATTATTATTCTGTTTGTTTTAATTTATTCAAATTCTGAATATTGTGTTATATTTAATATTGTGAAATTTTTAATAACCCAATTCACCCCCCCTCTTGGGTTGCCTAACTGGGATAACAATTTATTTTGTTGATGTTATTAAAACTCACATTTGTAGTGACATTTGATTGAATTTATTTAAGAAAAATTTTAATTTATTTATATAATCTTTTAATTTATAATAATATCAGTATATTTATTTAAGAAAAACAATGTGTAATTGAATTTCATTATAAAATATTTTAATTTTTTTTAAATGTAATCTGATGAGTAAAAATCCAATGTTAGAATTAGATAAAACTTAAAAAAATATAAAATATATTATTATGTAATGGCAACCCGACTCGCGCCCGAATGACCACCCTCATGCATGTTCATGATTATTAATATAATAATTCTCACCTTAGCTCAAAATATATATTGAATAATTATATAGTAAGAGCTATCTAAAAATAAATAAAAATGATCTATCTTTCTAATTATGGAATTTTAAATAGAGCTCCAATGACTTGACAATGAAAAAAAAAAAAAAAAAATATAAGATATAAACATCACATCATTACGAGACTCACACACTATTAGAGCTCTGTGAAGTCTTACAATTAGAATTCCCAAACTTTTTTATTTTTTTTAACCAAATGATGATGTTGGTTATGCATTCGATGTTTTAGTCACAATGATTGTTGTTTGACGTGATAATTAGGACTAGCTCATTAATAAATAAAATGTCACGTATAAATTATAATTATTTTATTCTTTTTTTTCTCATAACAATATAAAAGAAAGTCAAAAATTCATTTCAAATAAAACTTTTTTTGTTATACTAAAATAGTTTAAAAAATTAAAAAGTTAGACTAAAACAGTTGT